CGGGCAGAGATTGAGGGCCCGCTCTGTACCGAGTAGTGCGACCATTGGATCAATTGATTACTCAAACAATACACCAAATCTCGCTTCAGTTTCAAAATGGTTTCTGTTTAACATTCAATACATTATTCATTATTGTCATCAATTGTCTTAAGACATTACATTGAAATATTTAATTATGTGATATTTAATTATGTGACACAATGCTCTCTACCAATCACTTGGCATATCAATTGTACAGCGAATACTATAGACACAGTGATTGGTAGAGAACATTGTGTCACATAATTAAATATCACATAATTAAAAATTCCTATGTTACATCAATGTTCACATTATAGTACAGCATATGATAATTAAATGTCATATAACATGTCTAATCAACTAAATTGCAATTACTGTACACAATATATGCCAAACATTATTACCCCATATTTATTATATAACTAATATCTAACTAACGGACGATTCAATGAAATTAACAATCAATGATAAAATGTTGTCAAAAGCAATACCTCTGACACAGAATCGCCACCATTTGGACACGAGTTTGCAGTCATCGAGTTGTCTATACGGAGATAATTGTGATAATATGTACTCAAACACCACTTCCGGCAGATCTTCCACCGAAACCATCTTCTTGTTGTCCATCACTTCCATCTGATCCACACTTCACTTCTGCGAGCAATTATTATGTTCACAAATTATTCAATAAAACAATTATACATTTCATTTCAATTTACAAATTATACTAAAAATTGAGATTAAAATTAAAACAAACGAAAATAAAATTTAAAAGCTTTTATGAAATGATGAGTGAATTAGTGTTGAATGAAAACCATTGAAAACAGACATCAAATCAAATCAAACCAAATGTTTTGTTTGTAAACATAACGACAGTATTGAGTGAATAACAACTCAAACGTTAACTCATTTGCAGTGAAATACGCGTACAGTTTGTATGCTTTCAAACTTCAGTGCCTTTACTCACAATTGTTTGGGTTTTAAAGTTTAAATGTATTGCAAATAACAATACATTTACGTTAATATCAAATACTCATTGGATTTAATTGTCATTCAATTAATGTAATGATTAAACATATGTTAAGATAATAATAATATAAAATGAATACTTTAATTAAGTTATCCGTTATTATCGCTATTTTCAGTTCAATTGTCATTATATTTTGGCCGCAAATTTCAAACTATAATTTCATTTCATTGAATAATTTAATTGAATATTTAAATCAACTTTTATTAAATGGCAAACAAAGGGAGACAACCAAAAGCTGTTTATCTGCGGGCGAAGTATTGATGACGAGAAGTGAATTGTCGCGATTCGACGGATCCAGTGATTCATTGGGACTCTATCTGGCATTTCTGGGTGTCATATATGACGTGTCTTCGGGCGCTCAACACTACAAACCCGGCGGAAGTTATTCATTCTTCGCCGGCAAAGACGCCACCAAAGCGTTCATAACCGGAGAGTTCACCGAAACGGGTCTCAC